TTTTAATATATAACCCACTTAAAATTGTTTCAAAATCACAAAAATAATAACCTATCTCTTCTTAACTCATGATAAAACCATATCTTTCATACATAATATATTTACCAATTTCATAGTTCACAAATTTTTTTATATATAACCACTTAAAATTGTTTCAAAATAAAAAAATAATAATAACCTATCTCTTCTTAACTCATGATAAAACAATGTCTTTCATACATAATATATTTACCAATTTCATAATTCACAAATTCGAATACTACTTAATAATAAAATAAAGTAGATGAATTTAACCGATTATAGATACAAAAGTGATTTTTTTTTTTGAAGTAATACGTAGCAACCTGTAAAGAAATCTAGAAAAATACAAATTTTTTTAATATAAACCAAAATATGCTTTAATGAAATAAAGATAGAGTTCAAACTATAATCTCTATGCCATATTTTATATAAACCCTTATGTCTCTATCACATCTAATAAAAGAGCTGCCCATTTTCAATAACTAAAAGAAGGTTAAAAATAACAGAGCCAGAGTTAGAAATCCTGTCCTCACGAACTAAGCTTCAATTAAGTGAATATCATAGCCACCACGACACCAGCAGTTCCTTATTCAATACTTACACTTTTAAGTATTTCAAGGATTTAGGGGGCAGGGATGGTAATGGGTCGGGTTGGGTCGGGTTTTGCCAAACCCAAACCCAAATTCATGGGTTTATCCGTGAAAAAAAACCCGGGGTAAAACCCACTGGGTTTGAAAAACTCAAACCCAACCCAACCCGCTGGGTACCCACGGGTTTTTGTCGTAAAAAATTTACAATAACAAGTTCCTATCAAAATTAAAGTCAAATATCAATCTCTCAATACAAATTATCCATATTTAAAACACCATTCTAGAAAATTCAAGCAAGTCACAAATTAACTATACAAATTGTTCAACACCAATCTAGAAAACTCAAGAAAATTGAAGCAAATCACAAATTATCCATAATTAACATGATTAATTGAAAGCTTCTTCCTTTCAATTAAGTTTCTTCACTCTCCACTCGATAACATCTACTTCATTCTACACAATTAGAAAGAAAAAATTACACATGTCTCCACAAACATAAATAAGATTAGTTGTTTAGAATATAAAATATACCGAGTCAATTAATTATATGGTGTGGGCGGGTACCCATGGGTCGGGTTTACCTAAACCCAAACCCAACCCGGTAAATAGTGAACGGGTTTAAACCCAAACCCGGCCCAAAACCCGTCAACACGAATTTTACCCGCGTTGACCGGGTTGGATCGGGTGGGTACCCATGGGTTCGGGTTTTGTTGTCATCCGGGGGGCCAGGCTCCGTCGCTGCCAATAATCGAGCTTGTTATTATCATTTTACTGTAGTAGCTAAGGTAAGAAACCACGCATCTAGGTGTCTTCATCTAGAGTTTGGGAATTGGAGGTAATAGAAAATTGGGAATTTAGAATTGATTAGAGATTGAGATTAGAAGAAGAAGGGAGGAATTTGGGAGATGAAAGAAGAAGTTGGTTCTAGCTTCTAGGGGAGGGAGGTTGACGATTAGGGGTGTGCATTGGTCTGGTCCGTATTGAATAATACCGGACCAAATCGAAGTTTGGACCGGATCGCAACAGTCCATGTATAATGCAGTCTGGTTCTTGGTTCACATGAATTTTACGATTACTAAAGAAATAATGGACCGAGCTGATAGTTGGAGCGAACCAAACCAGATCAAATGGACCGAATGCAATGATGGTCCGGTCCTTGGTCCTATGATGTTTTTCACTAATGGATCGTGGTTCTCATAAGTTTGATTCGGTCCGAACCGAACCGTTGCACACCCCTATTGACGACACAAAGGGGAAAGAGGGAGGGGGGAGATTTGGATATGAAAAGGGAGAGGAGCAAAAGACTAGGTTTAGTGAATTCTTATTCTGTAATTACAGATCGTTTGGTACCAAATGATACCCTACAATCTATTAATTAGTTCTTTTCTAATATTTTGTGGATGAATCCTACAATCTAGTTGTGTCTTCTCAAAGTACTGATACAATCAAAGCAAAAATATAAAATAACTAGCATATGCTACTAGCGTTGCAATCAAATTATTGGTGACGTTTCTCATATTGCATCAATTGGCGCCAAATAATATATGCAGAAGTAATTTTGTTAATAAATGAGGATAATTATGTCATTCTATTATAATTAGTAAATACTTGTGGAATTCATTTGCAAATTCCATCTCAATTCCTCGGAATTGCTATAACTAGTTCCAATTCCGTAAAATTCAAAATTTAGAATTGCAAATGAATTCTTTTAAATACCAAACACAAAAAGATTTCATTTCAAAATGAATTCCTCAAAACTTTTGAAATTCATTTATACCAAACGGTATGTTAGTTAATGAGAAAATCTCACTAATTTAATATTACTAGAGAAGCTCGTACACTGCATCTCACGTCAAGCGAGCAATGTGAAATGGAATAAACTAATACGTAAGAAACATAAACTCAAAAAACTGCAGACCCAACTCTCATTTTACGGGAAAAAAAATAACAGGTGAGAAAACCAATCGTGGTAAGAGATTTTGCGAATAGGAATTTCTAAGCAGTTGAATAAGAATTGAGAAAACCATTTTGGGATAAATTGAAGTATACAATAAAAATGGACTCGTTGGCTAATGAAAAAGTATGGATTGGGGAACAACAAACAAAGGAGTAAAGTTGAAATCCTTTTTGGTTGTCCAACTTGATTTGAATTGTTGAGACTTCATTAATACGATTCTTTTGTTCTTTGATTAGTACTACTATGGAGACTCTATTTTTCCATTTTGGGTGTGTGCTCGAATCTAGCAAATTGCTAAAGAGATAAATAAGTAGGCAAAGTCAAATACGAAGAATAAAGTTATTTTCGTCACAAAAAATGATATAAAAACTAGAAAAAAATGTCATAAACATTTAACGAAATGAGTGAAAATGAAGGAGCAACATAGGAGCTCGTGTCGTTGGTTCGTATGACATTTATGTTTTTTTCATGGAGAAAAAAGAAATTTTTAGTTGTGTATATATTCGAACTCGAGTGAAAAGTGATACATAAGACGAAAAAATCAAATGAAAAGGATATTGAAAATGAAAATAAAATGAGAAACCATCAAATAGTGTCATGTGTCACTCTTGAAAAAATGGCTTTAAAGTTGTGGTTAATTCCAAAAATCCCACTTAATGAATAGTAAACCTCCAACCGTCTTTTTTATAATAGAATATAACTCGATAAATCTTCACCAAGTACCTCAACTAATACTTTCCAACAAAAATCTCAAAATACTCTCAAAAATAACATCCAAAATCTTAAAACACAAATAAACTGACAAATTCGTTCAAATATCGAAGGACTCAGAAACTGGAATGCTAACAGCTAACCAACAAACTACAAACCTATGCCCAAATCGCAATTAGCTGCTCTGCCTTTTCAACATTGATTAGTTAACCGATATCAGATCCATGAGGCCTAGGCTCTTTTCATGTATTGGGTTGCTTTCCCTCCATAAAGTTGCTAATTGTCTAAAATCTATTATGCTGCCCTTGGAACCTTTTTACTCCACCGCCAAATAACGTGAAGGCAGATTCACAAGTCCATTTTCCTCATTTTGATGATGATTATTACAGGACACTTTTACAGATATAATACTATGAGGTGCGACACTTCTCAACTCCCAGATCTGTAAGGTCAGATTTTTTTTTTTTTTTTTTTTTTGATTGGTTGGAGGCGCAAGCCAAGAACAAAGAAGAAAGGGGTTACAGGTGAATCTAGTGAGTTTGAACAACACTCCGAGGTAAAACAACACCTCTCTCGTCGTCCTGCAAAATGGGTCTCAAGGGGGCCGGCGGATCAACCAGTTCATACATACCATGGGGATAGACGAGACAGTGCTTCGAGAGCCAGTCTGCGACTCTATTCCCTTCACGGTAAGTATGTACTATGTTGACCAACCAGTCCTGCGCCACCAACCTGCGAATAGATCTCAGAAGAGAGGCCAAAGGGTGGACATGATCCACTCTATGTTGAATCAAATCAATAGCTAGCCGGGAATCGGACTCAACAATTAGAAGTCTGAGACCTCTCTTCCAAGCCATCTCGAGCCCTTGCTTGATTGCCCACAACTCGGCGCAGGCCGCCGAGCAGTCTCCAATGGAATAGCAGAAACCACTCAACCATCGCCGTTGATCATCTCTGAAGACTCCTCCTGCTGCGGCTTTTCCAGGGTTCCCTTGGGAGGCTCCGTCAACGTTAAGCTTACACCATCCCCTAGGTGGCGCCACCCATCCTATATCGATCACGACACAGTTCGGCTTAAGACTGCCCCGAAGTAACAAGGGAGAGGGAGCCATCCATGCCGAATGCCAGATATGAACCTTGAGATGGATAGCATGCCGCAAAGAAAGGGGGGAAAGTAACTTATTACCACCACTGAACGCGCCCTCGTTTCTGTTCTTCCAAATCGTCCACAGGGCGATGCTGAAGCTTGATGCCCACGGAACTCTGTTCCTGTCCGTCTCCGTATTGAGAATGTTCGTGCTAACCCAGTGATCAAGGTCTGCTGACAGAAAATCTACCAAGCTGTTTGCCGGCACCTCTCGTGTCCAGAAGAAGAGGGAAGTGGGGCAGTCCCTCAGAATGTGTAGCTCAGTCTCCGGCACGTTATCGCAGCTTGGACAGAACGGATTAGGAGCAATGTGTTTGTCGAACCGTCTTTTGTTGGTATTGATGCGATGAAGCAGAACCAACCAGATAAAATGTCTAACGCGCTCCGGGACTTGAAGTTTCCACACCGCTTTCCACACCTTCTGATCCGTAGGCTGGGGTGCTGGAAATGCAATCTGGTAAGCTGACTTCGCCGTGAAATCTCCGGTAGAGGTGGGCTGCCAACAGAGTCTATCCTCCTCCGCAGAGATAAGGTCAGATTATATACAGTAAACCAAAACCTTCGTTGACACAAAGCCAGTAAATGAATCAGACGCCTGCAGGGAACTGACAGAAATGTAAAAAATCCGAATTCCTTGAGTGAAATGTACAAATAAATAAATGAATGCAGGGGAATAAGAGGTTAAAAATGACAAAAACAATAACCCCAACCAGGTTTGACCTGACCATCATACCAGCAATGATTTTTTTCTATAATTAATCATCACCCAAAATGAAACTTCTTCGGCTGAATATTTTATGAGAAAAAAAAGGGAAAGAAAGAAACACATTCCCCTCCCATGTTTGAATGTCTCCCCACATTTCCAATACCTCCAAATGGCTTTCCAGTGAGTCACTGATTGAACCCACTTCCTTAGCTGTTTAAGATCCCAAGACCCCACGTAAACTAATCCCACCACCATCTTACATTATACTTCTATCATCTTCTCTGACCACATTGTCTTTCTTCGATAACTCCCCAGCTCCCATTTGTTCTCTCCAACAGCATCTTCCCTTCCTGCATCCTTCTTCTGGTTCTTCTGCTGACCTTCCCTTCTGGACAATGTCTGAAAACTAGAAGCAAAATACACCCAGAACCCATCTCAGGCAAGGAAAGAGAGAGAGAACCCAGAAATGGAATCCACCAAATTGCTTTTCTTCCTCCAATACTGTTTCATTGGCTACTGCTATCTCGCCATTGTAGCTCTTGGTGTCCAGCATAATGTGGTGGAGGTGGAGGTGGAGGTCTCGGCTCTGCTCGCAATTAAATCGAGCCTGGTCGATTCGTCAAACCAGCTTGCGGATTGGAGGTTGGGTTCTGGGAGTCACTGCAACTGGACCGGTTTGAGTTGCAATGCCAAGGGTCTTGTGGAAAGGCTCGACCTTTCCAACATGAATCTCAGTGGCAGCATCTCGGATCACATTCAGCACCTGAGGAGTCTATCATTTTTCTCTGTCTTCAACAATGGCTTCACCTCTGCCTTGCCGGAATCTTTGGGGAATCTCACTTCACTGAGGACTGCTGACTTCAGTATGAACAACTTCATCGGCAAGTTTCCAGCTGGCCTTGGAATGGCTCCAGGGTTGACTTTGCTCAATGCCTCAAGCAACAACTTCTCGGGGCTTCTCCCTGCGGATCTAGGCAATGCGACATTGTTGCAAAGCCTGGATTTTCGAGGGAGCTTCTTCCAAGGGCCGATTCCTGGATCTTTCAGGAATCTGCAGAAGCTCAAGTTTCTTGGCCTTTCTGGTAATAACCTGACTGGAAACGTCCCAAAGGAGATCGGCCAGCTGACTTCTTTGGAGACGATAATTCTGGGTTACAATGAGTTTGAAGGAGAAATCCCAGCAGAGATTGGCAATCTCACCAATCTTCAGTATCTAGATTTGGCTGTTGGCAGTCTCAGTGGCCAGATTCCTGCTGAATTAGGCAAGCTGAAAATGCTCACAACTTTGTTTCTGTACGGGAACAACTTCACTGGCAAGATCCCACCAGAACTTGGCAGCATTCAATCTCTCACAATGTTGGATCTCTCTGATAATCAGATTTCAGGAGAGCTGCCTGCGGAGATTGCTGAGCTCGAGAATCTGGAGCTGTTGAATGTGATGCGAAACCAGCTCACTGGTCCAGTCCCTAGCCAGCTCGGTAACCTGACCAAATTACAGGTACTCGAGCTGTGGAAGAACTCTTTTACAGGTTCGTTGCCAACGAATCTCGGGCAGAACTCGCCTCTGCAGTGGCTAGATGTGTCGTCCAACTCGTTGTCAGGTGAGATTCCGTTTGGTCTATGTGACTCGGGGAATCTCACCAAGCTCATACTCTTCAACAACTCATTCTCTGGTTCAATCCCAATGAGCCTCACGACTTGCAAGTCACTGGTTCGGGTCAGGATGCACAACAATCATCTCTCTGGGGCAATTCCAGTAGGCTTTGGTACCCTCCCACAGCTTCAGAGGCTGGAATTGGCCCAAAACAATCTCACTGGTCAAATCCCTGATGACCTTTCTTTATCCACTTCTCTCAACTTCTTTGATGTCTCTGGAAACCATCTCGACTCCTCTCTTCCTTACAACATCCTCTCCCTTCCGACACTTCAGACATTCATGGCTTCGGGCAACAGCTTCCAGGGCAGGATACCAGACCAGTTCCAGGACTGCCCATCGCTTTCGGTCCTTGATCTCTCCACCAACCATTTTTCAGGAAACCTTCCACAAAGCATTGCTTCGTGCGAAAAGCTGGTGACTTTGAAGCTCAGGGGAAACCAGTTCAGTGGAGAAATCCCACATGCAATTGCCACAATGCGCACTTTATCCATTCTTGATCTGTCAAATAATTCTCTGACTGGTCATATCCCACCAACCCTTGGAAGCTCGCCAGCGCTGGAAATGATCAATGTATCACATAACCAGCTACAAGGTCCAGTTCCATCCAACGGCTTATTTGCTTCTATAAACCCTAGTGACCTCGTAGGCAACCCTGGCCTTTGTGGCGGCGTGCTTCTGCCTTGTCCTACAATGCCTCCAACCTCAAGGCAGCGGCAAAATCTCCACGTCCGGCACATTCTCTTCGGACTCCTTGTTGGAATCGCAGTGATTCTATTTCTCGGCATTGCATTCTTTGCAGGGAGATGGGTGTACAAAAGGTGGTACCTGTGCAATAGTTTTGTTGATGATTACTTCAACAAAAGCAGCAAAGAATGGCCATGGACATTAGTAGCATTCCAAAGGCTGAGCTTCACCAGCAATGACATACTGGCAAGCATAAAAGAATCGAACATTGTCGGCATGGGAGGATCAGGTATCGTTTACAAAGCTGAAGTCCACAGGCCACATGGAGTGGTGGCAGTGAAGAAACTCTGGAGAACTGAACCAGACATTGAAAATGGTGATGATCTGTTTGGAGAGGTCAGCCTCCTGGGGAGGCTCCGGCACCGAAACATTGTGAGGCTGCTAGGGTACCTACACAATCAAAAAGATGTTGTGATGATTTATGAGTACATGCCAAATGGAAACCTGGGAACAGCTTTGCATGGTAAAGAAGATGAGAGGTTGTTGGTGGATTGGGTCTCAAGGTATAACATAGCCTTCGGAGTTGCTCAGGGGCTGCACTACCTCCACCATGATTGTCGCCCTCAGATCATCCATCGTGACATCAAGTCCAACAACATCCTGCTTAATGCTAATCTTGAGGCGAGAATTGCTGACTTCGGATTGGCAAGAACAATGGCTCATAAGAATGAGACAGTTTCGATGGTGGCTGGATCTTACGGCTATATTGCACCTGGTAAGCAGCTCTCATCTCTATCATATCAACTGTTTTTTTTTTTCTTCTTCTTCTTTTTCTTTTCACATTTCACTTAAAGGTCGTTTAGCTGTTGTATTTGGGAGAGTTATTTTCAATAGCATGCAATACTTTTGATATATTTGATGCATTTGAAATTGCAAATGCAATCTCAAACAGGGGCAGGAAGTATCTAAAACTGCACTCTAAAAAAGTGGATTTCACAAGTTTTCATTATGTGACATAAATTTCTTGCACTGTTTTTCATTACACCTTAATAACCTGCAATTAACACAAACAACATAGTTTACAAATAAAGCAAACCTAACACACCACTACCGGTATTCATTTTAGCATGCAGTTGACACAGATAACAGCAATTTACAGATACAATGAACCAACACGCACCCTTGTTGATACTCATTTTTCCTTGTGACAGAATATGGATACACTTTGAAGGTTGATGAGAAGAGCGACATATACAGCTTTGGAGTAGTGCTTTTGGAGCTCCTGACTGGGAAAGTGCCTCTAGACCCAGCATTCGGAGAATCTGTTGATATTGTGGAGTGGATCAGAACCAAGATGAGAAACAATAAACCATTGGAAGAAGCACTTGACTCTAGCATAGCAGGACAATGCAAACTTGTACAGGAAGAGATGCTTCTGGTTCTACGGATTGCGATTCTTTGCACAGCAAAGCTCCCAAAGGAGCGACCATCCATGAGGGATGTCATAACAATGCTTGGAGAGGCAAAGCCAAGAAGGAAAAGCATTTGTCAAAATGGAACACATAACTCTGTGAAAGATAAACCGGTTTTTAGCAGCTCACCTGTTATAGGCCTTCTATAGGTGCAAGAATCCCCTCTCTTGCTTCTGTATTTTCTGTCAACTCTATTTTCTGTAAATCATTCTTTCTCACCCAATTATTACCTGTTATGGCTGCCAGTATATGCCGCCATGTTTTCTTACAATTTTTCAGATATGTAATTTCATCGAACATTTAATGCAACATAACATGAAGTAGTCTTTACAATATCCAATGCCTGGCAAAATATATTCCAGTGTCAGGAATAGATAGAATATTCTCATAGACAATTTCATCAACAACTATATCAAGTTGAATCTACTTCTGATTCTGTGTCGAACTCTCAAATTTGAACCTGCAGTAAAACTTTTGGAATGCAATCTCCTGTTTTGCTGCTGTAAATGCTTTGTCAATCCACGGGCATGCAGTTATGCAGTCTTCTCAGCCTGTTGCTTCTGAAACCATCACAAGTGACCAAAGCATAATACAGACTGACAAACACCTGAGGTAATTCTCCTTAACCAAGAACAAACTAAACACTCACTGCACAAAAATAGAATCCAGATACCTCTGGCAAAAGTATGAATAAGACGCTTATTGTTCCCGCGATTGAGAAGACATTTAACAGAGAAAAGATGCTCTATATTTCTTTGAATAATTTCAAGGCAGATATACAACAAGAAACTTGGAAATCTAATTATGTTTCAAATCCTCCAAAGGAGCATAAACGCTAGATTGAGAAGGAAAAATGGCACCTCTTCTCAACCAATCCTACTCGCTCCAAGAACAAGTTCATCTCATCTTCTCCATAATCCAGAAAATTGGGTGCTCTCTTCATCCTAGGAGGAAGAGCCTAACAGAATAGGGCCAGGACCATTTGCAACTTCAAGAAAGCTGCTAGACACCGGCTGAAACAACGTGGGGAAAATAAACCAAGAGGATCAGTCAAAATCAAGAATACCCTTTCTGAGCAACATATCCAAGATGCTACACATGAATTAACTGTTTGCTTCCTGGGACATCAGCTGTTTTCTTAAATTTTCTTCTCTTCATCTTAGTAAATCAACACAGTTTTACCAAGAGCATTTTCCCCTTCGGAAGTGTGCAACAGCCAACAATCAACAACCTTTGAAGACTCCTTCCTTGTTTAAATGTTTTCAGTGAAGTAGACCTCCCTTTCAAGATTATATTGAAGAAGCAAGTTAAAGACTTTCGCCTATAACTTTAATTGAAGAAGATCCCACATTATTAGGGGAAAGAGTTCGGAGTGTACCTCTGTATAATAAGTCTCTAAAAGGGAAAAGGGCTCTTTCTCCCGAATCCCATCATTCTCTTCAATTATCCTTTCCAAATCCTGTGAAAACATGATCCAAGCTGAAAATTATTGCTAAGAAAATCAAATTCCTATTAATAACATAGGAAATCAACTAAATCAAGGTCGCTTGGGGTTAAAAAAAAAAGAAGCCTGTACCTTGCCCGTTAAGATCTCAAATTCAGGTAATTCATCAACAATCTTCTCTAAAACTCTATGATTCTGCTGCAGCATCTCTTTTGCCTTAAAATATGCAAGATCATACATCTGCCAAAATATCAACCATCAAGGACACTGAGTTACTGCACTGTCTCCAGACTTTTTTAACTCGGGTACACTGTACACACCTTTTCAACTTTAACTGCCATCTCGTGCTCATGATCATTTCCCCTGCTTAAAGAAGTAACCAACACCAGAGAAAGATATTTAATATCAAAATATCAAAATGAAAAAACATAAACAAAGAGCACACATGATGATGCCCTTCCTTTCCCTTTTGGGAATGACCAAATGCAAGTTTGCCTCCAATCATTCCACATAGTTCATCTTCCAAAACCAAGCATGCAAACTAGCACTTGAACTTTCTACCAATCAAACATGTCCTCTTACAAGAGACAGGGGCGCCATTTTGTTTTTTGCAATTATCCAATCAACCTATTTAGTAAAAAAAAAAATGGAAATACCGCATTGGTCGTATAGTAAACTGCAGGACTGTCATCAGGGTCCCCAACCATACTGGATCACCATCCTTGTAGCGATCTGTTGAACATATCCCCGGTCATCAAGAGCTCGCTGAGCTACAATCAACGTCAGCTAGCTAGCTTGGGAGTGGCTGAGGATCTTGGGGACAACATAGGGTTCTTGACTGGTAGCTTGTGCGAGGTTCTGCCGCTTTGGGGCGCTTTGCTAGTTGGTGCTTTTCCAGAATCTGATTGGGTACGGTTGGGTTTGGCTGGTCGTCACTGGTAGATCTCCTCCTTTGCCGTTATGGGCTGTGAGTTCTTTTCCTGATTTTCTTCTGCCCTATCTATTTATTTTGGGGGTTTTGTTGAAGAACTTTGCTGCCTGAATTGAAAGAAACCCAGGAGAAAGGAAGGCGGGTCTAACTAACGCGGCCGGTTTGGTCGCACTATTTTTTAGTTAATTATTATTGATTAGATGATTATGTCTGCCACGTGATCACTTAAAGGATTCCGTTAACGAAGATGGATGGTGACTAATGAAGAGTGATCAAATGTGAACGGTTTCAGTAATCTCAAGTACCATCAATGGATTTGAATATTTCGAGTGACTAAACACGAACATTTTTTATAATCTGAGTGACCAACTATGCAATTAACCCATAATTTATATAATTCGGGTTAGATTACACACTTTTGTACCTCTTGACTTGTGACGTTTGATGTTTGCACCGTCCTTGAAGCTAGTTTACGTGGGGTTTATTCGTGTTTTGTCATGTTAAGATCATGGTCTCCTAATCGTGATGTCAACAAGCAGCCCGTGAAGTTCGTTAGTGAAAGGGCGCGTTTAGCGCCAAGATCACTGTTTCGTTGTCGACTTCACGGGCGTGATATGAGACCGTGATATGTGCACTCGGGAGCTATATAAAAGAGAGTGACCTGATTTGAAAAGGAAGGAGAGTTTTAGAGAGACATTGGTGGCTTCTTCTTTAAGGTTTATAGAGAGAGAGAGCTAAGAAGGAAGGAGAATTTCACCTACCCAAGGCTACCGGAAGGCAAATTTCTCTTCCAATGGTTGAATCAAGCATCTAGGAAAAGGAGGAAGCACTTTGCCATGGTTTTCTTCTCTATTCTAGGTGTATTTTCTCTTCTAGCTATGGAGTAGTCTCTTATTTCACTTGGATGTTGTGAACCCTAGTCTAGGATATGTTAGATTGTAGCAATTGAACTCTATGTGTGTTGGATTTTGTGATTTATATAATGATTGAGGTATTATTCATGAAATTTGGGTGTTCTTGATCAAAGCCCTCAATTTAGGGACAAGTTGACCTAATACCTAAAAGGAGGAAATCCCCTTATAGCCCACTCTTTGCAATTCGAGTAACCTTCTATAGGCCAATTCGGGTCAACCCTCAATCATCAAAGAAGTGCCATGATACATCTTGATTGGTAACTTTTTGTCTTTTCCGGAGTAACTTCTTAGGGAGGTTACGCATGTCTTAGTCAACCGGTTAAGCAGGCTAGGAAGCACTTGAATAGGCTTGCTAGCTAATTTTGATCTCCTAATGGTGTATGAACCTACCTATCGCCAGTGTTCAAGAACACTCGCCTAGGCGCGTTTAGAAGCTAGGCGCAGCCAATTCTTGGAGAGGAATGCTGGGCGAAGTTGCTGGGCGCCATAAACGCGGAAGCGAGTTGAAGAACGCCTAGGCGGCTATTCCAAGCTAGGATCCGCCATTACAAGCGGTGGGCGACGCCCAGAAAAAAAAAAGGGTTAGATGCTGCTGTGCGTTTTGGATGCTGGCGCAGAAAGGGGAAAACCCTAATACCGAGTCGACCGCCTTCATCCCTCTTCTCCAGCAGTCGACAGCAGTCGGCCCTCTTCTCCAGCAGTCGACCCTCTTCATCCCTCTTCTCCAGCCGCCTTCTCCAGCATCGCGGGGATTCATCGCCAGCTGCGCCACATCCTCGCCGCCAGTCTCGAGAATCGCCAGTCGTCGTTAGTTTCGCCGTCGGTCTCCAGCCTCGTCCTCGCCGTCGGTCTCCAGCATCACCAATCGCGCCTCGCCGTCGGTCTCCAGCATCGCCGCAGTTCTCAGCCGACGGTGGAAGATCGCCGCAGTCCCTGGTCATTTCTCATGGCCCTGTTGAATTCCCATCACTCGTCTGTTTCTGAGTGGATGTTTGATCTTTCCGATTCAGTAGTGCTCGCTTCTTGATTAGGACTTTACCATTTTTGGGTACAGACCGTATCTGAATTGGGTTTCTGTGATCTGTCGAATTGGTTTTTAAACTTATGAATGTTATGTTTGATCTTGCACTCTAAACTTACATATTTATCTTTTTTTTCGACGTTTAATCTCGCCTAGGCAACGACTAATCGGCCTGGGTGCTGGGCGGTGCCTCCTCGCCCAGGTGGCGCCCAGCGTCTTCTTGAACACTGCCTATCACACTATATTTTCATATTTGCGTCTTAACACGAGACTAGGGGGAGCAATGTTGAATTGATCATTTCTCATTTGAATTCACCAAAGTTTAATTGATTGCTTGTTTAGTTTCCTTAGCTTTAACTACAAATCGGTCGCTAGATAACGTGTAAACAATTGAAGTAAAAGTAGATAGACCACCCCGATGGATATTGAAATACTTATTTTATCCTACACCCGATTATAGGTTGCACTTGACCTAAAGTTGGGTTAGTGTGTAGTGGTAGCGGAACCAATAATGAATAAAATATAAGAATCAACACATAATTAACCCTTAACATAAAAGTCATAAATACATGCAACAATACAATTATATATCTTACGGTCATTAGAAGTAGCTACCTACCATAAATACATGTCAATGTTTTGATGTTATTGAATTAGGTGTGCATCTGTGAATTGTCTTAATCTATTAGCAATTATCATATGGCAAAAAAGCTCTTCGCTTTTAGGCTTCCATCCAACATGATGTATAATTCTTATCTAAATTAGGTGTTAATATGTTGTTTTCTACACTCTAAAAAACAAATTTAGTATATGAACAACAATGAACTATATATTTTTTATGGATCTCGAATGGAGGGATGCTTGACTCTTGAGGTTGTCCAAAGTATTTAGTACGTGTATATAATATATTGGACATATGTCCAACTCTTAATTGGTTTGAATGGTTATGAGTGTGTGAAACCAAACAAAACTAAAAATTTTAGGGCTAATACCACTGGATATACCACTCTTTAGCGTAAGTGTCATTTATTTTACGTAACTTTCGATATGACAATTGTATACCAGGCGTTAAGTTTTCTGTTAGTAGTTAATAAAAAACACAGTCAGCAATGACATGCATGATAGCTAACATGAAATTTTTTAATAAAAAAAAAAGAATTGTAAAAACAAAACAAATCAAAATAAAAAAAGAGGAAATATATTTCTTCATCTTCCCTTATCTCTCTCGATCTCTCCCCTCCACCGCAGCCTCTTCTTCCATCTTCCCCAACTTTTCAACGGAATCCTCAAACCCCCCGAGCAAGTGCTCGCTCAACAGAAAGTGATCGCTCTGAATCGCCTCAACAGAAAGTTGAGAATCTCGATCCGGTCGGTTTTGTGCTTTTCGTCGGAGTTCTATCGCCGGCAGGACCAACCCCCTTCCCACCATTGTTCTGCACTTTTGTTGGTGGTGTGCGCTTTCTCTACTTGGTGACAAGCATCCATGAGTCAAATTTCTCCAACACTTCTAGTCGTATTTTCGTGCTCCTTTTGAGATTGAGAATTGGATTCGTCTTCGAGCTAAATTCCGGCGATGGGTTAGTAGTGCTCTCGGTCTTCGCACAAGTCTATTTCATGTGACCATATCTTCCGCATCCAAAGCACACAATATGCAAACCTTCATACTCGATCTGACACACTTTTCTTTTCAATTTGTACTTCGAGATCAGGCGTTTCTTGAGATCAATTTCAACATAAATACGTGCATAGTTGCCTCTGGTGCAGTAAAGCATATTGTAGTCAATCTTAACAACATTTCCTATGCTACTTCCAATGTCATAGAGAATTTAAGTGTATAATTACCCCATTGGTAATCTGACCCACACCTTAGCATGCTCAATAGAATCATAATTTGGATCGAAATCCAACAGCCAAACTGTCATCAGAATATAGTGTTCCCCAAGCAGCCAAGGCCCTCCAAAGAGAGCTCGATCATAATCATATTGAGTAATAAAGCAAACTGTGAAGAATCCATTGCCCAAATCTGCCACTCCCACTGCTCCTTTCCTTGACTACAAGTTCTGAATTTTCTTCTCTAACACCGACAATGGGAATGTTCTGCCAAGAATCCGACAGATAAGGGCCTTGCCCCACCTCTCGCGGATTCTCTTATTTGTAGCTTTTCGAACCCTAATGGTAGGGACAATCGGGATCATCTTCACCTAGCTCATTATCAGATTCGCCAGATATAAACCTCTTCTTTGCATTACATGATTATTCTGGGATCGTACTTGTCACTGTCTTTATATACGAGATCTTTCGGACGATCCCCGACTCCTCGAACACTTGTGAAGACTGGACAACCACCCCTCGCCCCTCGGGGGAGGGGGGGTCAAGCGTCATTGAACCTTCACCCGAGAAACCCTCATTCGTACTTGGTCTAGCTTTCTTGCTCAGGTGAGATGATGATGAGGGGTGTTCAAACGGTGTGGTTACCATGGTAACCGTTTTAACCAGTACTATTTGGATAATTTGGTTTGGTTAATTTGGATAATTGGTTTGGTTTGGTTTGGTTAAAGTTTTAGCTTGTTTGGTTTAGGTGGTTTGGTCTGACACTCCTAACCAGCCAAACCAAATTAACCAGATAAATAATTAGTTATATATCTAATATATACACATACTTAATACTTTGAATAACCACTCAAGAGTTAAACGTTCATCCTTTTAGACTCATAAAATATAAAGCTTGATATTGTTCCCATAATGTATATTTGTATATGTAGAGTGTAGACCACAACATATGACTGTCTAATTTAGAGTAAATCTCATAGATTATGTTGGATGAAAACTTGAAAGCAAGGTCCTTTTCGGTCTATAAAAATTGCTAAAAGACTAAGTCAATTCAAACAAACACACCAATTCATTAACTCATACCATTGTGATAAATTTTTGTTAGGTGAATACTTCTATACTAACCGTAAGATAATTGTCTTAGTTGCATGTATTTATGTTAAGGGTCAACTATAACTTGTGAATTGAGAAATTAACCAAAATTTTTCTCACTTAATGATAATATGATTTTATATTGGTTAATCTGGTCAACCAATTAACCAAACCGATTAAACTTTAGTTTGGTTAATTTGGTTGTTGTATTTGTTTGGACGGTTTGGCTATGATATTGCATTCCATGGTTAATGAAATTTAGCCTTATTTGGTTTGGTAATAACCATGGTAACCATTTGAACACCCCTTTGATGAGGTCCGACGACACCGCTGCCGATGTAGCCATCAAGGGAAGAGCAGACTCTCACAAAGCAGAGCTTTCAAAGAGCGTAATTATAGAGTCGGCTTAATTGCAAGTTTGGTCACTCGAATTGCTACAAAATTTCACGTTTGCCACTCAAATTGATTTATTCCATTTATAGTCACTTAAATTAGTTGAACAGTCCAAGTTCGGTCACTCTCCATTAACCTCCGTTAGACTCGTTAATGACGACCGTTAAGTGATGACGTGGCTAACAGAAAATCACAGTCAGCATATTTTAACACTAAAAAACGATGACCCGACCCGCCACGTCATATTTACCCGCCATGTCAGCCCTACTTGCCCAACCCGCGAAACAACCCAATAATTGACCCAACCCCAAACCCGAGACCCGACCCCCCTGAAAAGTAAATCGAAACAGGAAAGGGTAGGGCACTTTCTCTTCCTTCATCGTCCTCTCATCCTCCCGCGTCTCTCCTCAACCAACTATTCGAAAATCAAATCGTCGAAGAAGGAGGGATGGAGGCCGCCGCGTCACCGCCCTGAATCCCTTCCCCCAATCTCTTCCTCCCGCGGTCGATGGTGATGCTCGACAGGGAAAGGGCAGAAGCTCAGGTTAATTGGCGTCGCGGCTCCGCCTGTGGGCATTGACTCCGACGAGGACCGCGTCGAAAGAAGTCGAGAAAAGCAGGAAAAGGACGAGTAGAACGACTCTGAATTCCGTACACACCATGTAAAATATTCTTCTGTCTCCCCCCTTGGTTGTTGGTTACTGAGAAAGTAAATCCTACATCAAGAAAAAGAAGAGAGAAGAAAAAGGAAGGAGACCCAGAAACAGGAAATGGAAAACGAAGGGCAGGGAAGGGAAGGGAACTGGGTTGCTGTGGAAACGAAGGAGAAGTGCGAGAAGCTAACTAGGAGAAGACGAAAGTTAAAAAAATGGAGTGGAACTGGAGCACAGGCAAGAGAAGTGAAGGAAGAGGAAATTGGGAAGGTACGAGTCTTTGAGCAAGCAGGAGGAAGAAGAAGAAGAAGAAGGGAAGGGGAGGGAGAAGGCGGACGATGATAAACTTTTGGGGAGGGTCGTGATTTCTACCCGCGGTCGATGGTGATGCTCGACAGGGAAGAGATTGAGGGAAGGGATTCAGGGCGGCGGCGCGACGACCTCCATCCCTCCTTCTTCGACGATTTGATTTTCGAACAGTTGGGTGAGGAGAGACGCGGGAGGATGAGAGGACGATGGAGGAAGGGAAAGTGTCCTACCCTTTCCTGTTTCGATTTACTTTTCAGGGGGTCGGGTCTCGGGTTTGGGGTTGGGTCAATTATTTGGTTGGTTCGCGGGTTGGGCAAGTAGGACTGACATGGCGGGTAAATATGACGTGGCGGGTCGGGTCATCGTTTTTTAGTGTTAAAATATGCTGATTGTGATTTTCTGTTAGCCACGTCATCACTTAACGGTCGTCATTAACGGAGTCTAACAGAGGTTAACGAAGAGTGACCGAACTTGGACTATTCAACTAATTTAAGTGACCATAAATAATAAATCAATTTGAGTGGCAAACGTGAAATTTTGTAGCAATTCGAGTGACCAAACTTGGAATTAAACCTTATAGATTCTATAACAATTTTACAACATATAATTTTATTTTTCTTAGAATGATATATTACAGAGATTTGATTTGATATTGATTTCAAATTCAAAAAATATTTTTTTGGTGCAATTCAAAAAATATTTTAATATAAAACGTCTAGTTTCCTCGAACTTTATTTTTATTTTGCCAGCGGGGACAACTTACACAGTCACATAGAGGCTTTTTCTTACCTTTTCCGTCTATTTTCTATTTTCCCTCCTCTCTTCACCAAAAACCCAGAGCCGATTCATCTTCCCTATTCCCCAAGCATCGTAGCATCTCTCTCCCGACGGTGAGTAACCAGCTCCTGCTCTCATCCCTCTCAGTTCTGGAGCTCGTCGTTCGTCATTGGCTTGAGGAACTTCTGCGAGTTGTTTGCTTCCTGTAATCTTGGTTGTTTGAACTGCCGGAGTTGTACTTAGTTGAATTTATCTGCCTGGAACTGCTCACCGGCGACGTTTCAATAATCGTCCTTTGCAAGTGCCGATCTTATGCTTCTACTCTCTAGTTTTCAGTGGTGCGACTGGTTGCAGAGGCTCATCGGTTTACTTAATTTAATGATTTGCTTGAGGAATTACTTAGGGTTTGATTCCTTTGTCGGAAGTGGAAAGGCACTTTCAATTGCTACTTCAATGTTCTGAATTTGCTTGATTATACTTTTTAGTTATTAGGTAATTTTGTTTCTTCACGAGGACCGTTTTTCTTCAACTATATTTAACTGGTTTTACAAGTTTTAGTGCTCAACTAGTCTGTTTGCGGCGTGGGTTGAGATCTGTAAGCACTGAGCAGGTGCTTTTTGGTTTAGGGTGATTAAAGTTGCCCTGGCTTAAGTGTATCCAATACCTTGTAGCTTGTAAGGATCTAAAGACATGGAATTATGGCTTATACCAGCAGGGTTTCGTGGGGATAATTTTGAATGTAGCACATTGATCAGCAATCACACTGGTTATGCTTAACTATGGCCGTCCATGTTGATGGTTGATCAATTGATATAAATGCTCTCCTCTGCACAATTTTCTGTGCCGTTGCATTATTGTAAATCTATAACTGGAAACTGGAAAGCATTTCCTCTATGAAATTTAAAATTAAACAAACTAGTGACAGTCTTAATGTGATATAGAAGAATATACTGGTTATTACGGGGACTATATGGTTCGTAATATGTGCTTCACTCAAATTGTTTTTTAAATTTTGAGTTTATATCTTTCATTCATAGACTTGATATCTGGTTTTAATTTAGATGATGGTAGGCATGCAATGTTGATACCCTGAATTGACTCTTATAGGGTCTTTTAAGACGGCTATGCCCTTTAGTCTAGACACACCATAGATGGAGATGGAAGAGAAGCATGAGGACTACGAAGATATTGAAAGGGCTTCTGATGGCTCTTCCGTTGGTGATTCAGATGATGATGAACCATCAACATCTGGACAGGATGATGATTTATATCACGAGGCAAGTTGCTATAGATAGTTCTTAAGTCACTTTTCCTATTTAAATTATCATCTTTATGGTATTGAATTTATATAGGTCTTATTCTGAAGCCCAAAAACATATTTAAACTTCACTAAAAACCATCTGGCATACGCCTAACCAAGTTGGCTTGATCTACTAAACAGAGACAGTATCAAAGTTTCATTCCACCTGTTCGTTTTCTTATAAGAGAAAGCACAGAAAGGAGTTCACCACTAATCAAGTATTGATGTGAGCCACCAATTTCAAAGTTTCAAGGAATGTCCAGATCAAACAACGGGCTAGGAACGATGCAATATTTTTTGTTCTGCAGTCAACAACCATATAAGCTAGTATTTAGTAAGCAATGTTATTAGTGATGAAGGTAGAAAGCAGGATTGATGATGATGTCTACAGCACTAGAGACTATTAGGTTGTGCAATTGCTGTAAGTTTGTGCTAATTATGCTCAAATCCTTAACTCACAACTAAACTTGGGTTAAAAGTGGACTCATTTAGGATCTATATATATAATATAATAGTTCATGCATTAGGTGGTGTACAACTTCATTTTATCGCCTGAGTTCTAAATTGGAGGTCCTTTGTTAGGCATCTATCACATAAATGCTTGTTCTTTTGTTTTTATTTTCTGTTGCGCATAGGAACCTCTAACTGAACAAGAAACCCAAGAGCTGATCTCTGAGTTCCTGGAAGTTGAGAGTAAGGTATTGTCATTTCCCTCAACTTAACATGTAAGTTTGATACCCCTTGTTGCAAAGCCTGCGAGTGATGCTCATTTCAGGCTGCAGAGGCTCAAGAAGCACTCGAAAAGGAGAGTCTTGCTAAGGTGGAGAATGAAGTAAGAGAGGAGTTGGCACAAACTCTTCAGGGCGATGATGTGAGTTTTTTATGCCATCTCTGTGGATGTTGGGATTTCTCTTTTCTATCATTTATTCGTTTTTCATTTTGACAGCTAGAGGCTACCGTGCAAGATGAGATGACTACTTTGAAGGAAGAATGGGAAGCTGTTCTTGATGAACTTGAGACTGAGAGTGCCCATTTGTTGGTCTGCTTTTCATCCTTTATTCCTTTTTAATTGCGTATATTTTGAACTTCCAGTTGCACATTTTACTAACTGAATGCATGTTGGCAGTGGATCTTAAAATGGATCCTTAAAACGGTCCTTGAGCTGCTGTAAAGTTATATGTCCTCCTTTGGCACAGATTGAGCCTCATTATTTCTGGCGCTTGATCTTTTCTAAATGTTTAGAGCCTTAAACTTAAGTTTTAGAGAAAGGAAAAAGAGAGTGTTCAGTCTGGTGTTGTATTAGTTGACTTGATGGATGATGAGATGTTAGATATTTGTATTCGTAATCGTGAAATGAATGAGCTTTCTGAAATTGACTATAACTGGTAGCGCTAGATTTGGAAACAAATTATCATGAATAAGGTGGTATTTATAAAATGATATTTTGTAGGCCGTCAAATAACAATTTTCTAGAACTTAGCTTAATAACTACACTTGGGTGAGGTACGTACAACTAAAACCACCTATTCTATGTTTGTGTGAGCTATATCTACAACGCAAGGCCTTCTGATTCTTCCTTACTTGTTTGGCACATAACAATTCTACCTAACCATGCAGATGGCTATTTTAATAAAAATAACAAACAAGTGCGCAACTGCTCAGCACCCAGCACTTACGTATTTCACTTTTCATCAGATTCGAGTTTTTACCAGTAAAATTATGTTGCTTCTTTTGCTTTCTCTTGCTCTTGGGTCTTGCATTCTGAAGTAGGAGTTCCGAAATATGCCTTGCTCTGCATGTATCACTTAAAATGTATATCGACTTTGAACTCACCTATCAGCCCATGAAATCGGGCAAAGGATTTGTGTGGCTCTAGATTTTGGTGCTAAAGATGCAAGTCTTGGCCTCATGTTTTATGAATGGGACTGCTTGTTCAGTGATTACCACTGTCAGTTAAGAACCTATAACTCGTGCTTAACTAATCAACTTATGTTGAGGCATTCATTAGAAATACAGAGAAAACAAAGTTTGCTGAGCAAAGAAAGTAAACACATATAATAACCAAGCATTATATCCAGTAGACAGTCTCCTTTCTGAAAATTCCTTTTTTTGGCCAGGAACAACTGGATGGGGCTGGTATTGAGCTACCAAGCCTTTACAAGTTGATAGAAAGTCAAGCTCCTGATGTATGCTGCACAGAAGCTTGGAAGAAGAGGGCGCACTGGGTGGGATCTCATGTAACCACTGAGGTAAAGTCATCTGTAGCTGATGCTGAGAAGTACCTTCAGACCGTGAGGCCCGTGAGAAGGTATTTTATACCATGTTTCGAGTTGTCACATTCAATTCTGTTTGGCTTTCTTTTTTAGTTTATATGAAATCTGCGGGAGATATTCTGTCGGGCTCCTCAATGATAGTTTCTGTGCCCTGCTTTTTCAGACATCATGGCAAACTCTTGGAGGAGGGAGCTAGTGGGTTTATGCAGAAAAAACTGGGTAATATTGACCGGAAAAAGGATTTTGTAGCTGAAAATGGAGATTTGGATTGGGTCACTGTTAACAAACTATTTTCTGGTAATATGCCCGATGGTGGTACCTCATTTGGAAGTGACCATTGGGCTTCTGTTTATCTGGCAAACACACCTAAGGAGGCTTCTATGATGGGCCTCAAATTTCCTGGGGTTGATGAGGTGACTTTACTTTCTTGATCCAGTGTTCATTTTGATTAATGATATTTCTGTTTTAATTGAGCAGATTGTTATTGTGAGTGACTTGCAAAGGGCTGATGGTCATTAGTCATTAGCCATTGTTAGCTAGCGCTGGTGGTTGTTAGTGACTGGCTGTTTGTGGTCATATTGTTTGTGAGTGATTGTGGCTGATTAGGTTCTGTACAGACTAAGGGTTGGAGTTTGAAGAATGTTGATAAATATGTTGAAAGAAAGGATACGTCTTTTCTTGCATGCCTGCTGGAATAAGTACCTTTATGTTGTTATTGGTGCTAAGTCGTTGAGATGGTTTGTTTGTCAGGTTGAAGAGATACAGGAAATTGATGGTGATTCCGGTGATCCATTTGTAGCAGTTGCCATAGCTAACGAAATGGAGTTACCGCTGTCTGAAGAACAGCGGAAGAATTATAAGAAGGTGAGACAAGATGTCTTGTGGCTGTAAATTTATCATGGTTGTTGTGTTACTCTTTTATATAATGTCCAAGGTTTTAAACAAGGTCTCATTGGTGCTAGGCCTCGGAGCATGATATTTTTTGTGATTGGTAGAATATGTGTTAGGTTTGGTTGAAATTTTGTCTTCTAAATTTTTCTGTTTGGCCTTGTTCACATTAAAATTTGTGATGGTGTCTTATGTTGTATTTGATGTAGTACCTGTCACGTTGACCAGCAACTTGCTGGTTGCTATGTTCCTGCTGCTTGATGAGCATTGGACGTGACTAATACAAAATGAGCTTTCATACCAAGTAAAACAGTTTTTGATTGGTCTTCTGACTTGTGAAATACCAGTATCTGTTGGTTTGCTCTTATCTATTTTACGGCTCGTCTTTTAATATACTAGTTACCATGGAAATGGCACTAGGAACTTACTACTTTTTATAAGTGTGAAAGGAAAGGTCCATAATAATGTTAGCCTGGCATCCTGTGGGGATACTAGTTTAGTTGTTGACAGATACTTTTTCCTTGTTTCCGAGTTTTCCCTCGCAACACTGTCTTAAGAGTCTGTTTGAGTGCAGCAATCTCTTGCGCTCCCAATTTCTTATTTTGTTTTTATTGGATGGCGAAAGCTGAGTAGTAGCCTAGAAATATGGGGTTCTGACATGCCTATGTTTCTAAGAATGTTGCAATGTATTTTCTTAAACACATTGGAAGGTCAAAGAAGTTGACGATGCAAAGATTGAAGATCAGAAACTGCAACGTCACTTGAAGAAGAGGAGATATCGTATGAGACAGAAAGAGGTGCACATTACTAATCTTCATGCTCTTTCAGTCAGTGACACCTACCTGTCTAGCTTTGTGGTGATGTATTTAGCTGGTATTTTGGTACATATTGTACAACTTAGTCCATTTGCTACTATTGAGAGAAGTGACCTGCATATTAGGGGAAGCAGGGCTACGTGCCTGAGTTACCTATAAATGCGAGTACAGAACTTCTGGAACTTAGTTGTATTCTTTATGTGTGTTTGAAAAGGTTGTCCTTTACTGTACACTTGAAGGAATAACAGTGTTGGTGACTGCTACCGGACTGCATGTCTTAATGTCTACATTGAATCACTATATGGTCTTCGAACATATCTCTGAAACTATTTTATTTTCTCCTATAATTACTTACTCGTTAGTAAATTTTCTATGCTCCTTCTCACAGAGTCAGAGTGTATTCACTGATGAGTTGATGCCTATGGATGATTCTTCTGACGTAAAAATTGAAGAACATGTACAGTGTGTGGGCAGCAATCTTCATGATACATCACACCAGGAGAAAGAAAGTTTAGAAGGTTACAAAGCTTTGGAAAATTTTGACAGGGAGCAATTCTCAAGTATCGGAAAGTCGGTTTCCTCCGTATCTGCCTCTGATGCCTCTGAAACTATCAGGGCTAAGCGCTCAAATGAGGACGAGGATCTAAACATAAGTCATAAGAAGATTAGGGCTGGGTTTGGTAGTGATGATGACACGAATGTTGTGAAGGGCGATTTGGTCAGTAATGCAATTAAAGTAGAGGATCGATCAGCTGTACAAAATAATGCAAATGATGCTACTGCTGATAATAATCTTTCAGAGGCTCTGGATCAGAGGTATTCTTGTACTGCGTGTGATAACATTACTCCTGAAATACTCTCACACCCGCTGTTGAGAGTGATTGTTTGCAGGGAGTGCAAGTACTTGGTTGAAGAAAAGTTGCGCCTGAAGGTATGCACTAATAATGTGTAAACTGAAGTATCAGAAGCTTGTGTTGGTGCTTGAATATTTGGTGCACTTCTTCTCATGGTGGAACATATTGCATTTATCACGTCTGTTTTGATAATCTGATGCAATCATAGTTCCTAACCAATGAGTCAAGTGATGATCTGTTTTTTTAATTGCCTTCCCCGCATATTTTGACTTTTCATGATCCTGGGGTTTTGTAGGGTCCTGAGTGCTATTGTGGATGGTGCGGAAAAAGCAAGGACTTAGTCAGCTGCAACTCATGCAAGTTACTCTTCTGTAAATATTGTATAACTAGGAATATCAGTGACGTGTGTCGTATGGACTCCCTAGCTTCTGGGTGGCTGTGTTGCTGCTGCTCTCCAAGTTTGCTCAATAGATTGACAAGTGAACTGGAGAAAGCCATTGGGTCTGTTGATTCTATGGTCACAAGCTCTGATAGCGATTCAGACAACTCAGATGCTGATATTGGTGTTAAAATCAGGTTGATTTATTGCTCCGAAGTTGCGTTATGTTGTTTCCCTGAATTTGTTCAGTAATTGATATTTTCTGTGAACAATGTGCAATTGAAAGATCTATCTTACAGTTTGGTTTCCTAGCTTCTGCTTCTGTTTGATTGATTTGTGCTCTGACGTAAGTGTCTGTTGTTTCATTGTTTTACTAGTTCTAAGAGAAGGAAGAAAAAAGTGATTCGAAGGATCTTGGATGATGCTGAACTTGGAGAAGAGACAAAGAGGAAGATTGCAATAGAAAAGGTTCTTTGATATGTAATTGGCCCTATCATTCAAATCTTTGTATCATCAGTGTTTCCATTGTAATCTTGGTTTGTTTTGTAGGAGCGCCAAGAGCATTTGAAGTCTCTAAAAGTGCAGTTCTCTGACAAGTCCTCTGTGATGAGTTCTACAACACTGCATGGAACTCTACCTGAAGGTGCCAGTGTGGAAGTTCTTGGTGATGCTACAACTGGATATGTGGTGAATGTTGTTAGGGAAAAAGGTGAAGAAGCTGTTAGGATTCCTCCAAGCATTGCAGGCAAATTGAAAGTTCATCAGGTTTACTCTTCTTTGCATCTTTCTAATTGGAGCCACCTGCACTTCTTTCTCATTTGTTCTGTGATTGGGCTGTAAGAGTATTCAATAATCCAGCTTGTGCTGCCACGTTGCTGGAACTTGGACTTTGACATTTGGGTTTGAAATAGTTAACACTTAAATCACTTTTGGCGGTGCAAGTGCCAAGTCTGAGAGGCTTGGACATGGAAGAGAGTCCATCTCATGAAATATATAAATTTCTACCTAGCTGTTTCTTCTCTTGTATAGCAGGGGGAGGGTGTTTCTTGTGCTAGTTTTGAGTACTTTTGTTTTTGCAGGTTGCTGGGATAAGGTTTATGTGGGAAAATATTATACAATCAATTGGACGGGTGAAGTCTGGTGACAAGGGTCTGGGTTGTATTTTAGCTCATACAATGGGCCTTGGTAAGACTTTCCAGGTAAACATTAGCTTGCAGGTTTTTTCTTCAGACTAACTTGTTATTATGCTATATGATTGTGGTATATGACTGTGGTTCATGGGCTTATTAATCGAATCAGCAGTGAAAATACTGCTGGGACATTAGTGCTTGTGGTGGCCTTATAGCGAATCAACTTTGTGCTGGCTACTTATGGATGGTTTAACTTGTATCATCTTAGTTTCGTAAGGATATTTCTTTTCCCAGTAAATTAATCTTTCGTTACAAGGGAAGTAAAATGGAATTTGTGAATTAAGCAGGGTTACAGATCCCTGCAGTTTGAACATTTACTTTACAGTTTTACTCATATCTTTTATGGAATATGTTACCTGAACTTTTATTTTATCTCTGCAGGTTATTGCTTTCCTATACACTGCTATGAGGATTGTTGATTTGGGACTGAAAACTGCCCTTATTGTTACTCCTGTCAATGTGCTTCATAACTGGCGTAAGGAGTTCATGAAGTGGAAGCCTTCTGAAGTTAAAGCCCTCCGTGTTTTCATGTTGGAAGATGTATCGAGGTTTAACCAATACTTTTTGCCTCACCTACGACTTTAATCAAGATTAATATTCTCCTATTTTAGTCTTGGAAATTTGATGTTATCGTACAAAGACCGAGTTCCTCTTTAACAATCTAAATTCTGTAGCTTATATGAGAAACTTTTTCCTGTAATTGTAATCTTCATAATATACCTTTCAGATTAAAAAGTACTGGCATTGCAAATTACGGTACAGATAATGACAACTTTCTGGCACCAAAGTATTGCTAATTTTTTTCCCCAGCATAGTGAAATGAGAAGTATAAGTGTTTCTTTTTTGTGACTCTAGAGAAAGAAGAGGAGAATTGCTTGCAAAGTGGAGAGTTAAGGGTGGTGTTTTCTTGATCGGCTACACTGCTTTCCGGAACTTATCCTTTGGAAGGCATGTGAAGGATCTCAACACTGCCAGAGAGATGGCCTGTGCGTTACAGGTTATATACTATCCTTTAACATCTCTTTGATGGCAATACTTGTATTTTAGAGTCTTAAGCCTACACATGGCTCAGTCCGTGCAGGATGTTATGTATCTTTGCTTGAACTTGGGGAAAATGTACTCGTTCTGCTCGTTGACGCTACTGTAGATATTTCTTTTTTCTTTCATCCAATTTAGTGAACAAATATTTTTAATTACCGTGACAATTTCACATGCTTCTTTGCATCTGGGGAACTAGTCCATGATCTTCATAGAATCCTTAGTAATTCTCAAGGACTCTTCTTTTCATTATCAGGAGGGACCTGATATACTTGTTTGTGATGAAGCCCACATGATAAAGAATGCTAGAGCTGATACAACTCAAGCTTTGAAACTTGTAAAATGCCAGCGAAGGATTGCACTAACTGGATCACCTCTTCAGAACAATCTAATGGAGTATTACTGTGTAAGTGGAGAAACTGAGGAAAATATCTGTTTAACTTATGCACTCCTCAGAGTTCTTACTTCGAATTAAACCTGACACAGATGGTTGACTTTGTGAGAGAAGGTTTCCTTGGCAGCAGCCATGAGTTCAGAAACCGGTAAGTTACCAATAGGACCCTATCTTACTGTCTTTCTTACTGGAACTTACTTTCACTTTTTGTATATCTATGATTCTTTCATTGCATGCAGCTTCCAAAATCCTATAGAGAATGGACAGCATACCAATTCAACCTCCGATGACGTAAAAATTATGAACCAGCGGTCACATATCCTTTACGAACAGCTTAAAGGATTTGTTCAAAGAATGGACATGGATGTGGTTAAGAAAGATCTGCCCCCTAAAACTGTCTTTGTGATAGCTGTAAAGCTGTCACCATTGCAGAGGAGGTTATACAAGAAGTTCCTTGAGGTGCATGGTTTCGCAAGTGATAGCATTTACAATGAAAAGACAAAGAAGAGCTTCTTTGCTGGATACCAAGCTTTGGCTCAGGTTGGTTTTTACTTTCATAGTTTCACAGTTCAATAGTGCTCTATAACTATTAGTATTACTTTTCTTTTCTCTTTTAATGAATTCAAGATGCTCAGTCATTGAAGATGTCATATTTTACAGTTGATTCCGGTGATGTTCTTAATATTGAAACATCATATATTCGAAGAAGAGTCTAGTTTAGTGTCTGTAACCATGGTGTACTTGTCTGCTCACTTCCTTCTATGTCCCTTGTGTGTTTTGCTGTTTGCTTGTGACTACTTGATAATTAATCACATTATGATGCCAAAACATTCTTTTGTAATGTTCAACCTGTTCTCACGATCTTCCTTTGTATTATTGATTTAAGCTTAATGCAAGACATAACTCAAAAGATTGATTTTATTCGGCACCAGCTTACTATTTCATTTCTCTACGTTACATGAGTTATTTATTGGATATCTCTAATACTTACATTGCAGTAATACTGTATGATATCTAGGTTTGTTTGGTTGCGTGTATATGAGAGTGTTATATGCAACATTTAGTTGAATAAACAGACAATAAATACCAAAATTGCTGAACAGATATACCTTCTTTTTTTTTTGGGTCAAAGATGAACAGATATACCTTCTTCTGTGAACATGACTTGTATTTGAGTGTAACTGGAGATTACATGTCTGCTTATGTATCAAGTGATTTAATTGCCAATACATGAATGCGATATGCGATGATAGGAGTTATTTGATGATTGCGCTCTATGAGAAGTGGGTCCAAGAAGTTCTATTTATTTTTCTCAGGCACAGGTTTTCCACACAAAAACTGAACTAAACAATGCTTCTTACGAATACATCACTGATAATAGAAGAATAATTAATATTTAATTTTGAAAAATAACATTTGTTTTTCAATACATCAAACCAAACAGATTCTAGAGTGGAGGACTAGTTTATTGCACAGAAAAGGGGGGCAAAGAAGCTCAACCCTGGACCCCCTTTTTCTCTCTGTGTTGCTGTGGTTCTCCTTATTAATCTCATGGTCATAGACCTGCTATAGAAGTCTCCCTTACTCCTCAATGTGGTATGGCTGCGGTATTTACATCATTCCTTCATTGCTCTGAGTAGATATGGAATCATCCTGGGATCTTGCAATTGAGGAAAGACAGAGATTATGTCAGCCATGAGGATGTTATCGAGAACGATGACAACTCAAGTGATGAAAATGTGGATTACAACAACATTCTTGGAGGTATAGCTTTGTCCTCACTTTCTAAGCTATACTCACCAGTTTATTGTCTTCAGAAAAGTTTAATCACGCGAGGCATACCAGACAATCTGTGAGATGCACATTATCTTTCCAGGCTTAATGATGCTACTTATTGCTTGACAGAAAAGCCAAGAAATGGCAATGGTAATCTGCAAGGAAAAAGTTCTCATGGATTTCTTGTGAAGGTACAAGTGCTAGCTACTTACAGGAGCATGTCTTTTAGACGTTTCCTTTGGTCTAGCTTCTGTATTTTGCTGTGGTGAAACCACTTCTTAAGTGAACAAGGTCACAAAATATCCGGGTTTATATAAACTTGTTATGTTTATAAGCATTCAGAATATTATGGATGATAGTCTTATAATCCCCTGAATTTCTGATTTGTAAATACCTAATTAATCTTGAATGCAGGGTTGGTGGAATGAGCTTCTATCCAAAGATGATTACAAAGATGCTAATTTTGGGGGGAAAATGGTTCTGCTGCTTGAAATTCTTACCATGTGTTCCCGTGTTGGGGATAAAGTATTGATTTTTAGTCAGAGCATACCGACGCTGGATCTTATCGAATTCTATCTTTCAAGGCTACCTCGACATGGGAAGCTTGGAAAATCCTGGAGAAAAGGAAAGGACTGGTACAGGTGGGTGGGTCTACTATGGTGTAATACTTTGTTCCATAAAATTATTTCTCAACTGCCCATATTGTCTTTTGGTCTGTTAACTCTTTCACCCGACTTCTGTGTTGTCAAACAGGCTAGATGGGAGAACCGAGAGTGCTGAAAGGCAGAAGTTAGTAGAAAGGTTTAATGACCCTGAGAATAATAGGGTCAAATGTACCCTAATATCCACAAGAGCTGGGTCTCTAGGAATAAATCTTTATGCTGCTAATCGAGTGGTCATTGTTGATGGTTCCTGGAATCCTACCTATGATCTGCAAGCCATTTATCGAGCGTGGAGGTTGGTTTTTCATTGTAAAGAGCATGGATGAATCATTTTCATTTCATACGAGTGAAGTTGATTATCTCTTTTCAATTTGATTAGGTATGGCCAGAAGAAGCCAGTATTTGCTTACAGGTTGATGGCACATGGAACCATGGAAGAAAAAATCTATAAGCGGCAGGTAATGGTAGCAATATGGTGGTGCATTGAATTGGCTGTACTTTTGTTAGTAAGTTTGACCAACCCAGATGATGATCGACAGGTGACTAAGGAAGGACTTGCTGCAAGGGTTGTTGATAGACAACAAGTACACAGGACCATCTCAAGAGAGGAAATGTTGCATCTATTTGAATTTGGGGATGAGGAGAACCCCGACACCTTGAATGAGAACGATGAAGAGAACACAAGGGCAGGAGTTTCTGGGTGTTCGGTGAAGCATAAAGTGTCGCTCTCCAATGGAAGTTGCCCTTCTGACAAGGTCATGGAGACCTTGCTTGGCAACCACCATCCAAGGTGATTACATTTTTGGCATTTAGATGTTAGTAATAAGTTTTGAATATTGTGTGGGTTTGCCGTGAATATTTGTTTTAACTAGAGAAGAAATGCGTTTGTTCGGCTTTAAGTCAATTTCCAAAACTAACTTTTCTTTCATCCCGACGTTCAATTTCTCAGGTGGGTTGCCAACTACCATGAGCACGAGACGCTTCTGCAAGAGAACGAAGAGGAAAAGCTGACAAAAGAAGAGCAAGACATGGCGTGGGAGGTATACAGAAGATCACTAGAGTGGGAGGAAGTACAGCGCGCCCCAATTGACGAAACCACGTCGCAGCAGCAGCAGCAGAAGCCACCCTTGCCGCCCAAAGCAGCACCCGCCCAACCCACCAGTGGCCGAACCACCTCATCTGTTGCTGCAGCTGCTGTAAAACCACCTCAGCCACTTGAAAAAGGTCATGTAGAACTCTCCAGGAGCATCCTGCGTAATCGCCCAGCGCAACGGAAATGCACGAGCATCGCTCACTTGCTGACCCTCACAAGTCAGGGAACCAAGTTTGGGTGCACCACGGTGTGTGGAGAATGTGCCAAGGAGATAAAGTGGGAAGATGTGAACAAGAATGGCAAAATGGCCAGGTGAATGAATGCAGAGGATGAAAGGTGGTATGGAAGATGTCTTTCCTCCCGTTAAAAATTATTTGCCTTACATAGATGACAATAGGGAATCGCAATTGCAGAGGTCAATATAGGTGGGGCGTTCCACATCATGGTTCCTTTTACTTGGTGAGACAGTGCCCTTAATTTTGTCTGTATTGACCTTTGACCTGTTTTGGGGATGATGTGGCTATATATATGTAATCTACAGAGGGAGAGGGGATAATTAGGGTTTTGTTAATATGGGGTTTGATCCCATGTGACTTCATATCTTGTTTTGGTGACAGTGATCCTCACATCTATCATCTATGCGTTTTTTTTTATAGATGCTTTTGTTAGCATGGTGCTAGGTGTGTTGCCAACTACCATGAGCACGAGACACTTCTGCAAGTAGGGGTGGGCATTGGTGCGGTCAAATCGTTTCAAACCGCATCGAATAATTTTTGTGGTCGAGCCAAATTGCACCGTAAGATTTGCGGTCTAATATGCAGTCTGAATTTTTAGCATCTTGCAGTTCATGGTCGGATTAATTTGAAACGGCACGGTTGCGGTTAAAACCAACAAACCGCATAAATTTTTGGATGCAGTGTCACTGCTTTGTTGGATGTAGTGTCCGTAACCTAAGAACTGGGAAGACACATACGATTTAATTGTAGTCAATACTAAATATAAGCTGGATGCAGCGTCACGGCTTTGGTTTATAATTACACCACCAGGTGCTTTAAGCCATGTGCTTTAATTTGTACTGTTTAATTTTTCCCTTGTTATTCTCATATTTATTTATTAATAAAATATATCACCATTAGCAAAACAAAGAAACTACTAGACCACATTCATAAACGTATTAGACTTGTTTCCATTTTCAACTATTACTAGATAGGATTTTAAATAATTTTTTTGTTAGAATTACAAATTATGTGTGTAGAAAGTGAATTCAAACTTGTCAATTCAATTATTCATACTCCATATTACATTGCGGTCCCATATGCAACGTGGTTCAAACCGCACCAAATTGCTTATTTAGACAGTTCAGTTTGATCACACCGATTAAATTGCGGTCTAATGTGCGGTGAGGTCCAAATAACATGCGGGGGCGGTGCGGTTTGTGTCAATGCGGTGCGGTGCGGTTCGAACCGCACCAATGCCCACCCCTATCTGGAAGAGAACGAAGAGGAAAAGCTGACAAAATAAGAGCAAGACATGGCGTGGGAGGTATACAGAAGTTCACTAGAATGTGAGGAAGTACAGCGCGCCCCAATTGACGAATTTAAATGAGTTTGACTACAATTGATGAATGAAGAGGAGGTATAAGTACACACTTGGTATTTTGAAAAATTGGAGAGAGGACCAATGTATATGTGCAATTAAATGAGGAAGGGGTTGGACTACAAAATCCACACCACAAATATAAGAAAACACATCACAAAATTGAGATAAAAACCTTAGTTTGGAGACTACGCACTCACAACATCACAATTTTATTAAAGCAAAACACATACAATAGACTAAGGTTCAAAAAGGCGCTAGACGTAAGGCGGTCGTTGAATTTTTGCCTAGCGCCTAGCTCGCCTAGGTGTAGACTAAGCGTGTCTAGGCGTTAGAAGAAAAATAGCTATTCGCATTGCATGATGAATGAAATAATAATTTACAACACTTCCTCACTTCAGTTAAAATGATTAATAACGTACTCAATACTTAATGACAAGAACATAGCTCACGAATTCATAGAATCATAACTCAATAGTTCACAAAGTTTTTGAGCTATTGAAAATATTGATATAGAAAATTAAGTTCATAATTGATATTAATTTTCTCCTTTAATATTGACTTCCTAGCTCCATCTAGTAATGTTTTAGAGAGACTTATGTGTCACCTTACTCCATTGACGTGTTTAAGTATCTAATTAGGCACGAAAACCCCTAGACGAGACGATTTTGTCATTACCTTGCGCATAAACATACCTAAGCGTAAGGTTAAACATGCCTTTTTGAACCATGCCCATAACGCACCGTAAAATTGATACAACATTCAATGATACAACGACAAACAAATTCCACCAAAGAGAGCAGTACACACTCCTTCAGATATGTCTCTCTCTCAAACAATCACACATGCTAATGGTGTACTTCCCCTATGCTATATTTACAAATGTAGCATTCTACATAGTGTGGTATTGTAAGCAAACCTTCTTCATCAAAATGCTTGTTGATTTTCCAACAGCTAACATATCTCATCTCCAACCCAGTTGTCTTTCTCCTTCGGCCCAGTTGGCCCTTCCTCGCCATAAAGCTCCGTCGGAAACAACTCGATGAGGTTCTCTACTGAAAACCGAACAAAAAATGGCAGTATATTGATTATCTTATCGATCTCTGATCGTGAACCGTACACAACAGTTGGACCCCATTCTCTCATGTACTGCAGCCAGCACGGTTCTTCGACCAGTTCCTCTCCAAGATACTCCGCTGCAATGAGCTGATACTTAACGCTCGAATCGATAAAGTAATCACTCCGAGCAGTATCATTTCTCACGCCGATTCCAAATTTCGTGGAACCTTGAAGAAACATACCCTCATGGGGGAAGCTAGCATGACCATGCTTGGAAGAATACACAATTGGCTTATTACTACCTTTAATGAACTCCACTTCAGAGGCATCTACCCATCTCCCCCCACTGTGCTCGGAGTAAAACACTTGCCATAGCTCTCCAGTGAAGTTGCTGATACGAAGAGTGACATGCTCCCAGTCGCCCACATGCTGCCCCAGCCTCGACATCGGTATGCTCACGAGCCCTATCTTGAGTGTCACTGGTCCGTTGAAAGGACAGAACACCCACATTGCTACATCGGTGAAGGACCCTCCAAGTGCGGGCTTCACATGAACATAAAGCTCTGCACTCTCCAGGTTTCCACTTTTCAAACTGCTGCTTTCACCATCGTCGATGGGTAAATCTATCCAATATCCACCATCATTTTCACCTCCGCTTGGCAAGTTTGACCCCATGTAGTTGATCGGTTGACCTTTCTTCCAATCATCTTTGTACAGAAGTGCTCCATTTTTGAAGAACCATTGCACGGAAGACGGGAGATAATCTTCGTCAGGATGGAAGTACATTATAGGGCCATAGTGTTGGATCAAGGAATGGACCTGGTTCAGGTTCGGCATTGCAGTTAGGAACGCGTCAAGATTCTTCAAGCATGCTACACTCATGAGAGCTTCTTCTGAACTCATAATGCTACTTCGACAGTAAAATGTTCCCACAGATACACCTTTACCAAGCATTCCCATTTCACATGGCTTAGTGGTCCAAATCTGGAATTGCTGGTTAGAGCCGCTTTTGGAATCCATGGAGAACACGAGATCGCCAGTCTCGCAGGGTTCTGTAAGGTCTGCTCGAACACATCTCACTTCGTCGATATCTGGCTGGTCCGAGTCGTGAGTGACCACAATTCCCATGGCCTTGTACCCTGTCGGTGGATTTGGAAGCCAGAAATAGCCATTGTCACCATAGTGTGAGCCAGTGCTCCAAATCAGCGAGTAGTTGATTGGCTTTCTCAATGGTGGAGGATTCAACGAAGATAATCGAGTGTGGTTGATTTCGCGAGCAACTAGGACATAACCTCTCAATGGCTGCTGATCATCGGGGTGGCAGTAGTAACCAAGGGAGTGAAAGCCATCAGGGATGCCAACAGGTTTGTAGAATGAGACTCCTAATGGTGTCTTCCCTCCACCCAATTGGATGCATCTCCAAGCACTCTCAAATTTCGTCACTTGGATGACCTCTAGCTCTCCCAAATTCATTATTCCGGTACCAAATCCCTGACCTATAGTAACATCATCAAGTTAATAGCATGCTACTTTGGACAGATTTCCAGTTTTCCTATCGAATTACTCAAGGCAAAAACATGGTCAACTAATTCCGAATCACAAAAATGTAAAATAAAAGGCAGATAATTGAGATAAGAGTAAAGTGGAGAAGAGGGGAACCTTGAGGCCATTGAGGGAGAGGAGCAGGTAAGGAGAAAGGCTGTGGCTCAGGAAGACTGCCAAAGTCAACGGATTGTTGTTGTTGGTTCCAGTAAATGCAATCGCACCCAAACATCCTCTTATCTTTCTGCAACTCTTGCTGGGATAATCTTTGAATGGCCCAACCCAAAACAGGAAAACCCCACGAGAACCCAGAAACCTGTTTTCCGAAAGAAAGGAAAATAAAAAAAACCCAGGAACAACTCCCGCCACCAAGTTCTTACCTCTCTCTCTCTCTCTGAATTTGGTGGTCTAGCTCCAGAGTCAGAGATACTGCTCTTTCACTTACAATCAATATCTTTCTCTGGTTTCCTGCAGGAGGAGGAACCCATAAGAAGCAGGCTTCTGAATCCGAAATTGGTCCGGAATAGGAGGTTGAGGAGACAGGTTAAGGCTAGTGGGCGGCGGCTATGAGGAGATGACGGAGCGAGAGAGGGAATTGGGTTTCGGTGAGGGGTTGTGTGCTTTTCTTTTTTTTCAAGAGGTGGAGTGGAAGGGAGAATGGCAAATTGGCAACAACCCAACGCAACAAACGAAGAAAAGTATGCAGCTTTTCATTTATTGATGTTCTTCTCCAACTCTTCTCTTTTTCTTTTCTAATAATTTCTTTTGTTTTGTCTTGTTGGGGGGTCACAACAATAACAGGCAACTGCTTTTTCTTTATTTGATGGATTGGTCCCACCTCAATGGCTATTTGCAAAAACATCACCACCATTCTACTTATTTGCACTTTCACACCAAATTATTTATGCTCTTCCCATATGGGCTGTTTTGCAGTTAGCGACTTAACAATCGGCAACTGAATAAATGATAACGTTTAACTAACCAAACAAGTGCCTATTGTCTAACACCCCAGGCTCCTATTTTACAAAAAAAAAAAAAAAAAAATAGAAGCATGATCCTGTATACCCACCCGACCACCCCTAGCTACTGTCCTTCCTTATCATGTTCGCATAATCAATTCGATTTTGGTTTGTAATGCGGTTAACTGCGATTAATTGTTAAACAAATTGCAAAGACATTATAAGACAATCTAAAGGACAGAACAATCATTAGAACTAAGTAGATGGTAATATTGCATGGTCTTAGCACAAGAGATGTGGTTCAAGAGAGTTCTTCTTCCGACAAATTAAGCTAGACATTGAAACTTATCTAGTCGGTCGACCCCAAACACCCTGCCACAATCTGATAAACGTTTTAATTATTTGGTTTATATATTCGGTTTGAATTATTTTGTTCGGGTTTATTTTGGTTATTGTGGAATAATTATGGGATTAATAAGTTGGGGTAATCAGTAGGCAATTGTGTTTAAGTATTTAAACTATTGTTTTACGTAGGAAAGACAAGCAAGATTAAACCTAATAAAAAACCTAATCTTTCCTCCCTCTCTCTTCCTCTCTCCTTCGGCCGAACCTCCCTTCCCTCTTCTCTCTTGGCTGCCGAGTAGCTTCTGCTTCCTCCCTCTCAATTTCCCCAAACTTCCTTTTGCCCTTCATTCTTGCAAATCAAGTTAGCCGGTCATCCTCTCATTGACCCTAATTCCAAATCCCTAGATAGAGCTCCGTTTAGTGGGTTCTAACATTTGGTATCAGAGCCCCGTTCTTGGGTTCGTGATCAAACGAAGACGATCGAGATGGTGTCGACGAAGTCCATGATGGCAGCTGAGAAGGCAGCCAAGGCGGCGCAGGAGCAGGTCGTGACTGCGGCCACGATGGGGCTGCCGTCCTCCGGTGATAGCGCACATGGAGTTCCTAGTTTGCGGGACGGGGAGCTGGAAGACGAGACGGAGAAGGAGGCGATCCGAGTTACCTTGGACCGCCTGGTGGCTGCGTTCGAAACGGAGTGCATGGAGAGGCTGGCGGAGAGACGCGAGCGGGAGGAGTCACGGGGGGTCTGGCGGCAGTTCGATGAGGTCCAGGCGACCTTGGAGGCGTTGTGCGGTGCGCAACCACCCCTATAGAAGAGCAACGGCGGCGACACAGGGGGAAGCGGGCTGAGCGCGGCGGGAGATTCGTCGGCGGGCGGTGGCGCAGAGGGGAGCAGGCCGGTCGCGGCGGGCGGGACAACGGCGGAGGACCTACCTCCGGTGGCCGTGGTGATGGAGGCGGGGGCAGTGGCGACCGCCGCGGGCGAGGGCGACCAGGCCGGGGCTTCCGAGCGTGCGTGCCAAGGTCAGCTAGGGCGCGACGCTGGGCCTGGGCTTCTGCCTACGCCGACGGCCCAGGAGTTGGCGGCTCGCAATGGCAAGGCCAAAATGGCCGGTTATGACGGCGGGACCCAACAGACTGTGCGTGGGCCACCTGAGTCAATGGGCCGGTTTGATGCAGCGGGCCAATATCACGAGTCTAGAGGGCTGGGGTGGCTGAACATGGACCCGGAGCAGTTCGAGGAGGAGCTCAGCCTGGTGGGCCAGAACGCACCGTGGGCCGACCCTGCTAGCACCGAAAATTACCTGGGCTGGGACCCGACAGTGGGTCGGCCCGCGCGAGTTGGGCCGCGGCAGGAGGAGCAGGCTAGGCCAGGCCGGGGCGAGGCGGTGGTCGGCTGGACGGGTCGATCGCGGGCTGCCCGATCCAAGTCGGACCGGGTCGGGTTGTGGTGAACCGGGTCGGGTCGGATGACGCCGGGTGGACCCTAGTCGGGCTGGTATGGGGTTGGTCGAACCGGCAGTGGGCCAAACTGGTTTGAGCCACGGCTTGGGAGATCAGCCTATATGGATCCGAACATGTGGCAAGGGTCGTACGGGGCAGGGTATGCGGTCGAGGTGCAGCGGGCAACTGTGGGCGGGGGAGAGGATCACCGTTCTACCTGAACCAACCAGGAGGTGACTCGAGTTATGAATGGTATGGTTCGTATCACCCTGCCTATGATGGAACTGATGGGATGGTCTTTCGAGCCAAACCCCCGACCATTGAATTCCCAAAATTCAACGGTCAGGAGAATGCAGGGTTGTGGTTGTATGCGACGGAGAGGTGGTTCAGAAATCACCCCATACCAGAAGAGAGGAAGGCGCATCTGACGTCCTTCTACTTAGAAGGTGAAGCACTACAGTGGTGGGAGTGGATGGAGAGATCCTACGGGGCGGCGGAAACCTTGATTACATGGCCAATGTTTCAGGAGGAGCTCCGTTACCAGTTCGGTAAATCGGAGGGGTGGGCTCCCGAGCAGTTGGCTAAGCTGAAGCAGACCGGCTCGGTTGCGGATTACCGTGTGGAGTTCTTCAAGCTGCGTAATCAATGTCGTGGGGTACCAGAGGATACGTTGGTGGGGCTGTGTATGGCAGGCCTAAAGCCGGAGATTGCTGCTGCCGTCCGGGTCTTTGAGCCTGACTCCTTAAAATCTGCTTTTCGTCTTGCAGGGTATAAGGAAGAGGAGCTCGCGAGTTGGAGGAGCACCATAGGGCGCTATCCGCGACCCAGTGGCGCCGGGAGCAGCAGCGGGGCGGGCAACGGAGGAGGAAGAGGCGTGGCTAGAGCCACTGCCGGTGCTGGGGGACCGACAGCTACGCCGGCGCCAGTCGCGGCGGCAAGGGGTGGCATGCGGCCACCACCTAAGGGGTTTGTGCGGCTGTCCCCTGTAGAGATCGAGCAGAAGAGACGGGAAGATAAAAGGCTAGAGCCACTTGTATAAATATATTACGAAATACTAACATATTAGATGGGATGATAAAGAGAATAACTATTATGGGAGTTGCTAAACGTCGCCTTTAAAATTGTTAAAGATCGTCCTAAAAAACAGAAAAGTTACACTTTTAACCCTTTAGCTTCTTTATTTTCCCTTTAGCAAACAAACATCACTTAGATTAAGCAAAGAAAAAATAACATTATCCAAGAGAGAAAGCATCCATCATCGTCATTCTGAAGCCGAAATCATCGATAGGACGTCTAAATCATGAGTAGAGACTCCGACGAGGTAAAATTCACTCCAAAAATAAATAAAAACAATAAAAAAGGAAATTGAAGCTCACTTGCGGTTGCACCATGGGTTGCGGTTGTCCCATGGTGGAACTGCAACTCACTTGCGGTTGGTCCATGGTACAACCGTAAGTGGCTTGCGATTGGTCCATGGTGCAACCGCAAGTGGCATGCGGTTGACCCATGGTGGAACCGCAACTCACTTGCGGATGATCCATGGTGGAACCTCAACTGCCTTAGGTTGAGAGTTTTTTTTTTTGGAAATTTTGGTCGGGAACGGGCTACGACAACGGCGGGAAAGGCGCCGGTGGACTGGTCGTCAGCAGATTGGTTTGTTTCACTTTGTGCTTTGCACTCTATGTTATTACCTCTCAAGCATAATTTGCTTCATCTTGTTGTGGATGGCTCCTCTGTTTTGGATCCAGCTTTTCTGTTTGCTCCTCTTGTAATCGAACTTTCAAAGTAAATACAAAGTAAATCCCCTTTGTTAAAAAAAAAAAAAGAGTAAGATAACAAATATATACTATCTGGCCCTCGAATCAATATCTTGTAATCCTAAACTTGACACCACAATGGATGTGGTGTATAATATTTGTCCTACACCACAAAAAAATTAATTAATTTTCACTCGTTCGTCGATTTTATCGCTTATGTATTGTAAACAAACTGCTTACGGAAAAAAACATTCTAATTCATGTACCAAACTGTCCAAGCATAAAAAATTGGGTGAAACTTGGCATTTGCAGTTTGGTTTTCAGGACAATCGGAGGAAGCATGGAATAGTCGTCGTTGCTAACCTTAATAAATAGATGGAACCGGTCAAAGCATACATAGTATTCAGTAGGAGAGGAAGAAAATTAGAAAAATGCATGTGTTTGTCATGAATGAAAATATCATTTAATGGCTCAGTTTTTTGTGGCCTGTGTCCATCGAGATTGACTTCTATTTCATTTTATTAAGTACCATTGCAAAGTTGCTGTCAAACTCTAAACCTATTAGAAATTATGTTGCTGTAATGCTAATCCCAGTTATCACGCAATAATGAACAGACCACGCCTCTCTCGAGTTTAATTTTTTTGGCAAAGATTAATAAGACTTCATTCATAAATCGATTGATTTACATACAACGTACATTTAGAGGTGATCGGAGATGATATTTAGAATAATAACTCAATCACAAGGAAGAGAAGAATGAGCTCGTGATCTAGCCACCTAGAAATTCAACCGGCAGAGAATAATCTCCACTTTGATGAGATTTGTCAAGGACAAAATACTTTACATGGCTGCCACCCTCGCTACTTCCCTTCCTCCCTCAGATCTGTCTGCCGCCTTGCTCTACATTGACCGCGACGCATCCTCCAGGTCTCCGCCAAACTCATCGTTGTCGTCGCTGCACTACCTGATCGACGTCATTGTCGTAGATCGTTGCCATCTGCAAATCCCAAATCCCTAATCTTCCCCTTTCTTCCACAGGGACAGGGGAAGGGAAGTACAGGAGATCGATTGATGATGGCGGGGGAGGGTCGTGGTGGTTCTCGAACGGAGAGAGGATTCGGTGACTAAGGGGATGTTTAGTCACTTGATTAAGTCCCTCCCAACCTT